AACCAGTTTCTGAATCTCTGAGCTAGTATTTGTCAACCAGATTCTGAATATCTGAGCAAGTATTTGTCAACCAGTTTCTGAATCTCTGAGCTAGAATTTATCAACCACTTTCTGAATTTCTGAGCAAGTATTTGTCAACCAGATTCTGAATATCTGAGCAAGTATTTGCCAACCAGATTCTGAATATCTGAGCTAGTATTTATCAACCACTTTCTGAATTTCTGAGCAAGTATTTGTCAACCAGATTCTGAATATCTGAGCAAGTATTTGCCAACCAGATTCTGAATATCTGAGCTAGTATTTATCAACCAGTTTCTGAATCTCTGAGCTAGTATTTATCAACCAGATTCTGGATATCTGAGCTAGTATTTGTCAACCAGATTCTGAATCTCTGAGCTAGTATTTATCAACCAGATTCTGGTTTTTAAACATAAAGTTGCGTTTCCTAGTGACCTTGATTAACTTGGTCTCTTAACTGAGACACTGATGCCAATTACATCGATCCTCGTAAAGGTTTCAGGAATTAGTAACGCAGAAAGAATCACGTGACGTTCAGTTGCTAATATCAACAACAAACTCCTTATGACACATAGGTTACTTCATTACATCATTACACTATGTATCGGTTATCTGTTAAAAAGTATATGTTGGAAAATTTAAATTGTTCTACGTGCCGAGGTTAAGTACTGCAGTGAATTTTCTCATTGATAAAACTTGCCTTGTAATTGAAAATCTATGAAATGCTTCAAGATCACACATAATTAACGCAAAGTACACTTAAAACTATTTATTCTTCGTTCCAGCCATGTAGTATTACGTCATATTAATACCCATCATGCCACATTCATTTATACCATAGTTCAATATGAATATTATTGGCTTTGAATGAATGCTTGCAGAGACCTTCAAAACATTTGTAGTCGAATTAGCATATTCATTACTACAGTACTTCTTTAACAATAGGATTTCTAGAGTAATACAAATGAATTCTAATGGCAGACACATAAATCTATCTGTCCACTTGTCTTAGGCCTAACATTAATCAAGACTATTAAGTACAGCTTATATTCGCAGGGCTGACGAGAGATTGGGGGGGGGGGGGTCTTTTGAGGAGCCCGACAGTTGGATATTCCAAATCTCACTAGATTAATGAAGAAATTTGTCCCCAATTTTGTTTATGAAAAATCAGCAAAAGTTAATAACAGAATAAAAGGGGGCCCGATGATATTACTGACCCCGAGGCCTGGGCTAGCTCCCGACGCCCCTATATATTCGATAAAGAGATAAATTAACACTGTAACTTGTGTACATTTTTGCTTTAGTTTAGTTAGGGTTAAACTTTACCGTACTTGATACTATCAAATAATAATAAACTTGTAATGTTATTCTACGACCTAACGTTAGGCCTTTTTAAAAACTATGATAAATATTTAATATGTTGTCGTACAAAATGTCTACTGAAGTATATTTACATCCGCCTTTTGTCTCCATCCGTTGAAATGAAGTACGCGCGCATTTTCAGAACAGACAAAAACTGGGTATTATTAATATAGATAGTTTTATATAAGCAACACTTGAAATTAGCGAAATATACAACCACGATTTTACTGACGTATATCGTGGCCAAGTACACTTAGAGTCAGTCAGCGAGTTATTTTTGTAAATCTCCAAAAAGAATAATTCATGTCACTTGAGGCCAATACGTTTTAGAATTTTGTTATAAGTAAACAAATCCCCAGTTCACCACCCTTTCTTTAGGAAGACTGCATTTTACACAAGAATTGTCTAAGAGTGTGGCTTTTATAATACTCATATGATTCATCCCAACCTCACTGCCTGAGAGAAATGGGCGTTTTTAATGTCTCTTCAAAACAGAAGGTTTTTAAAAAAGTAAACATGCGTACTGAATAAGAAATCCTGTCTGGTGAAGAGAGTAACATTTATTTTTGGAGCTAGGGGTCCTCTCCGTGAAACATCCCATATTTGACTGACCTGTTTGGCTTCTCTCACGGTTACAAGGTCGTTGACGTTTACAGAAGAAAAATGCAGGCTGTTATTCAAAAGTTTCCAGAAAAATATTTTCAACCATTTATAAAACAAACACAGATCTCTTGACTTCGGGATGCGTCGTTTTTAGAAAGTGATCTCTAAAACGTGTTTGGTTTTATTGTGTTTCATACTTGGCAATACTGTTGTAATTGTTCTTTCGTTGGCGGGTTCTTCAAAATTATATGGTGAAAATAACGATTAAAAACTAGTTTAGATTTTCCTTAACGTTTTGTTTCCTTCTAGGCTTGTATACTTTGCAACTTGTAAACTGTAGGCCTAAGTAACTTTACAAATGACACTTCTTACACCACACTAGCATAAATAATAAACTTATTTGTGCAACTTCACGGCTGAAATGGAAAAGAAAAAAACAACTATTTTGAAACAACCCTACAATCTTCAAAGCTATATCGTATTTATAACGTACTCCTAGAATGTATTAGAAATATATGACGTCAGATTTAGAATATTCGAGGCTTATTCCCGCAAAGTTATTTGATCTTAATGTCATGCGCCCTTTAGCTAACATCTGAATTAACAAACTAAAGATATAGTTTATAACAATATATATTTTCATGGCAAACCTGAACAAAATGCGATTAAGTACCAAGTTTAAACCTGTATGGCCGTCTTATGAGAATGTAAAAAGGTAATATGGGTAAAGGTTTTCGTTGTTTACCAATAGACGCCTAGTGATAAATTAGGCCGTGTTTTCGTTGTTTACCAATAGAAGCCTAGTGATAAACTCGGCCGTGTTTTCGTTGTTTACCAATAGATGCCTAGTGATAAACTCGGCCGTGTTTTCGTTGTTTACCAATAGATGCCTAGTGATAAATTAGGCCGTGTTTTCGTTGTTTACCAATAGATGCCTAGTGATAAATTAGGCCGTGTTTTCGGTGTTTACCAATAGATGCCATTGTTAAACAACGAAAACACGGCCGAATTTATCACTAGGTAAACAACGAAAACACGGCCGAATTTATCACTAGGCGTCTGTTGTTAAACACCGAAAACACGGCCGAATTTATCGCTAGGCATCTATTGGTAAACAACGAAAACACGGCCTAATTTATCACTAGGCATCTATTGGTAAACACCGAAAACACGGCCGAATTTATCGCTAGGCATCTATTGGTAAACAACGGAAACACGGCCGAATTTATCGCTAGGCATCTATTGGTAAACAACGAAACACGGCCGAATTTATCGCTAGGCATCTATTGGTAAACAACGAAAACACGGCCTTATTTATCACTAGGCGTCTATTGGCGTCTATTGTTAAACAACGAAAACACGGCCGAATTTATCACTAGGCGTCTGTTGTTTAACAACGAAAACACGGCCGAATTTATCACTAGGCGTCTGTTGTTAAACACCGAAAACACGGCCGAATTTATCACTAGGCATCTATTGGTGAAAACACGGCCGAATTTATCACTAGGCGTCTATTGTTAAACAACGAAAACACGGCTTAATTTATCACTAGGCGTCTGTTGTTAAACAACGAAAACACGGCCGAATTTATCACTTGGTGTTTACCAATAGACGCCTAGTGATAAATTCGTTGACAATTAAGTAAGTTGTCATATATACCTATTAATCCCATTCTTAAGTATCACACGACATTTCCATTGATCTTAATTCACGTTAAACTAGGTTGTAATAACTTTTCTCTGTTGAACAACGTAATACACGGGTACATTTTCATTGGCTTTCCTTTCCCCCTTCACACGTAAGGTCCGTTCCTTTTAATTCACACACACTTTAGAACCTGCCACTAAGGCTTTTTATTCTATCTTCCATACAAGTCGAAAATTCTAAGAGGGGGGGGGCAAGGATAGGAAATCTTCAATCAGATGAAATAGTACGCTACGCCAGAATCAATAATGGTTACGACCCTGGTGACTTGAGGTGGTATGGTGGTAAACTTTAATATCTAC